AACTCTCAATCTTTTCTTTGAATAGTGCCACAGGAACTTTTACATTCACCTGCACAGGGAGATGGGACCTCATTTTTACATCTCATCTTAAAGGCAGCACCTTCAACAGTGTAGTGCATCCTTAGTACTATGCTGCATCTTGGCTGTGGAGCTCTGGAATGGGATTTGAAGCAGGAACCTGCGGGCTCACAGATGAGAAAGCTATCAAGAGAGCCTCAGCTACTGTGTTCACCAACTACAATTTGTTACTGTATGAGTTAGCTTTTCTCATTTCTGTTGTGGACTGGGATAGGAAAGCTGCATAAGGAGGACAAGCCAAGTAGAGCAGACAAGTGACAGATGATGACGGTTTCAATCCCATGGCTCTTGTGGGATTGGATGGCAGCATCAAAGTTTGGAGATTGCCTCCCCTCCACTTAAATACTGGCTGAAATGACTCTTATCTGCAGCTCATCCTGTTTACATTGCTCCAGGATTACAGAACCGTGCTGACGGGTCTGTTTGGAAAATTACTTCCAAGCCATTAACCTTAAGTGCATTAACAAAAACATGAAAAATCAGACGCAAGCTAGATCATTGGACTCAAAACGTTAACTCTTGTTTTTCTCTCTCCACAAATGCTACCAGATCTGTTGACTTTCTCTACCAATCTCTGTGTTTGTTTCAGATTCTCAGCATCCGCTGTTCTTTGTTTTACTTTAGTCTTGGTTCATTGTCTGCAAGCCTCCATATCGTGGGAGGAGAAACAGCAATGCAGAAATCAAAGGAAGTGATATAAATTTGCTCAGAATGTCAGCAACTTATTTACAAGAAAGAAATGAAACAAAATGTGGCTGGCTGTGACTCAGCATTCTGACCTCTCCCAACAGAAGATACTAGGTTCAAATTCCACCTCAGAGGCTTAAGCACTAACATCAAGACTGACACTTCAGTGCAACAGGAGAGAGTGCCGCACTGTCTTTCAGATGCAAGGTTAAACCCCGGCCTACATGCTTGGCTGGATGTAAAAGATCCCATTGCACTATTTTGAAGAAGAGCAGGAAAGTTATCTCCAGAGTCCTGGCCAATTTTTATCCCTCAATCAACACCACAAAAGCAGCAGATTTTCTGATTATTGCCGCAGTGTTTTTTGCTGTGTACACAAATTAGCTGTTGCATTTCCTATGTCACAGCAGCAGCTACATTTCAAAGGTATGCAATTGGTTCTTTGAGATGTCTAGCTGTGAAACATGTTGAATAAATGCAAGTCTTTCTACAGGGTCAAAGCCAAGGATAGGCTGTTAAATAGTGGGATTGCAAAGGTGGAAGAAATGTCATTAACTTCGGATTGTTGCTGAACACAATATCATTCACATTGTGGTATTGGTGAGGTAGGTTGACTTTTGATACTGTGTTGAATATTGTTTGGGATATTATAGCAGGGACTCATTCAACAGTAGTCAGAAATGGGACCGTTTCCAACATTAGCAGCTTTCTATTTACATAGCATATTTAATGTTATGATAGTGGCAAATACAGACTGATGAACTTTAATCTCCATCAACTGATTGTCATACCTGAGACTGATACAGGGACTAAATTATTTTAAAAATAAAGCAACATCAACCTAAAATGGCTACAGTGGGATCACCTGACCAGAGATTGCAGCAAGCTTTGTGAGACCCATGTGGAAGAAACAAAACCATCTGCACTGAAATTGCCGTTTTTATAAAAAGACATTGAAACAAGGCAACTGAGTCAATGTCTAGAAATTCACATCTCCCATTTAATTCACAGGTGTATATAATGTCACTTATAAGTAGATGGAAGACTCCCTGGACAGTTAGGTGGCTTGGAAAAACAATGGCGCTGGACTCCAAAATGCACACTGACATTTATTTCACATGATATGGGTGGACAAAGCCAGAAGTCACACAACGCCAGGTTATAGTCCAACAGGTTCATTTAAAATCACAAGCTTTCGAAACACTGCTGCTTTGATGGGTGAAGTAACAAGAACCTGAAGTGTGGGAAAATGTGAAGTTGCTCATTTTGGAAGGGAGTATAGAAAGAAACGAGTATTATTTAAATGGAGGAAAACTACAGAATGCTGCAACACAAGGGGACTTGTGGGTGTATGCGCACAAAACACAGAAAGCTGGCACATACATGCAGCAGGTAGTCAGGAAGACTATTGGAATGTTGGCTTTTATTTCAAGGGGTTTGGAGTATAACTGTGAGAAAGTCTTACTGCAACTGTACAAGGTGCTGGTGAGACTACATCTGGATTACTGTGAGCAGTTTTGTTCCCCTTACTTAAGAAAAGATATCATTCATTGGAGGTAGTTTAGAGAAGGCTCACTCGGATGATCCCTAGTGTAGAGGGATTACTTTATTAGCAGAAGTTAACCAGTTTGAAACTCTACTCATCGGGATTTAGAAGAATGCGAGATGATCTCATTGAAACATGTGGGATTCTTAAGGGGCTTAACAGGATAAATGCTGACAGCATTTCCCTCATAGGGCATTAGAACCAGAGGGCACAGTCTCAGAATAAATGGACACCAATTTAAGATGAAGAAATTGAGGAATTTCTTCTCGCAAAGGGTTGTGAGTCTTAGAAATTCCTTGCCACAGAGGGCTATGAGGGCAGAGTCCTTCTGTATATTTCAGGCTGAGATAGACCATTTAGGGAATCAAGGGTTACAGTGAAAGGGCAGGAAAATGGATGTGAGGAATATTGGATCAGCCATTGAATGGCAGAGCAGGTTCAAAGGTCTGAATGGCCAACTCCTGTTCCTGTTTCTTGTCATCTTATTGATTAACTCTCTCTTTCTCTGCCTATTCTTTCATTGCCTTGGAAAACAGAGTTTGCTTAAAAGCAATGGAAAGAACCATGGATGTGTAAATCAGGAACAAAAACAGACGTTGCTGGAAAAGCTCAGCAGGTCTGGCAGTATCTGTGAAGAGAAAATCAGAGTTAACGTTTCGGGTTCGGTGACCCTTCCTCAGATCTCTGTTCTAAAGAAGTGTCACTGGGCCTGAAATGTTAACTCTGATTTCTCTTCACAGATGCTGCCAGACCCACCGAGCTAATCCAGCAATTTCTATTTTTATTTCTGATTTACAGCATCTGCAGTTCTTTCAGTTTTGATGAAAAGGGGAGAGTTGATTTCCTTCTTCTGAGTAGGTTGGAACAATGTTGATCAATATTCCAAGGTGCCTAATGGAAACATTATTAGACAGAACGATAGGTTGGAGGCCAAAGGATTAATAAGCCTACAAGCACTTTGGTTAAGATGAATTAATCAACCATTTAAGAGGAAGTGATAGTGCAGTGGTAATGCCTCTGAACTAGTAATCCCATTATGGCACATAGTGAAACATGAATTGAAAGACGGGATTCAAAAAGCTAGCCTAATTGTAGCCACTATCAATTGTAATTTAACAAAACCCTTCTGCTTCTCTAACATTCCTCAAGGAAGAACATTTGCCATCCTTGTAAGTACCTCCGTATTCCCAGCACTGTGGCTGTCTCTTTACTGTCCTCTGGCCATTTAGGGGTGGGCAATAAATGTAGCATTACTCATAAGTCATCCATTTAATTTTAGAAAGACCAATATCAAACCTTTTGGATTTACATGATGCGTGACCACATCAGACTGAGCACTGGATGTAACATTTTAGACAAGACAACTTAAGAACTATTTTTACATAAGGTCACATTCATTTCAGTTCTTAAAATGCTATTTTTGATGAAACAGGAACATCTTTCTAAAGGTTCAACCATTTGTTCCTTCTTGACGTGATTGACGTGACCTGGACTGAGTGGACCTGTAACCTACTTAGGACATAGTCAATGATAACAGTACTCCCTGAATCAGAGAATCAAACCTCTCTCCAGTGTTTTGAGCTCCAAATGTGTGTCCACACTCTAGTGAAGTACTGAAGGAGTGCTGTAATATCAGAGGTCCTGTCTTTCAGAGAGCAAAGTGACAGTCTGTCTGTTCTCTCAGGTGGAGATGAAGTGTCTCAGGAACAGTTCAGAGAGAAACTTGATATATGTCTCCTTTTTCCCTTCTCTGCATTCTGGTTTTTTAGACCCCACCCTGTGCTGAGAGCCTCTCCTTTGGCAAAGAGCTGTTTACCTCCCACTGCCTTAACTATTCACAATGATTTTGCTTTCTCCAGTTATATTTCTTTTCATCACCTCGTGTGAGCCTGTCCCCTGTTTTTCTGTTTAAAAAACCCTGGCACTCTTGTGGTTTCTGTCCTCCCTCCTTCCGCGTCGTTCATTTTGTTCATTTTGAATTGCTCCCAGTTCTAGCAGGTTAAGCTGTCAGCTGAGCTGCTATTGGTATTGATAACACTTTCGATCTTTGTTGCAGATTTTCAACTTTTGTTGACATGCTAATTTGACTTTTAGCATTCTACAATTCTTGTATTTCCATGATTTCAGAAAATGTGTATTCAAACAAAATATCCAAATAAAAAGCAAATTTTTAATGAAAGCTGGAAATCTATTGTGGATCTCGTTCTTTGTGCACCTTCTCTTCAGCTGTAACATTCTATTCCTTGTTCCGTTCTGTTACCCACTGCACTTTGTATGGTATGATCTGCCTGACTGAATGCAAAACAAAACTTTTCGCTGTACCTATGTACATGTGACAAGAATAAATCAAATAAAGTCAAAAGTCAAAAATCTGAAAGAAACCTTTGTACAGGGTCCCTCCAACGACAAAAGCTGAAGTCAATAGTCACACTAGTTTTTTTCTTTTCTGTGATTTAGGATGAGCTCCGAGCAAAATTTGGGAAGGACAACACAGATTTGATTTTTGAGTTTACCATCCATGTCAAACCCTGTGTTATTACAAACAATCTAGTTCTACTATTGGCTGCCAAATTTCACAATGCATTCATTTTGTAGCCAATCACCTTCACAGTTTCGGTGTGTATTAGACAGCCCCTTCTGTGCAATGATTGGGGCTAAGACATGACTGCTGCAAATCATTGGCTAATTACATCAGCAAGCAACTGTTAAACTTATAAAGGAAGGGTGTAGTGGGGGAGGGGAGGTGATTCAGTGAAAAAGATTCATTCTGGTGACTGTTTTTATTGATTTCAGCATTCCTGCAGCCTTATTTAACAGTCATGGGTCAGAGTTGGTCAGTTCAACCTGGGCTGTCAAATAGAGTCAGGCGAAAGAGTCTCAAAAAGTACTTTTGGCAATTTCGTGTTATTTTGGTGGGTGATTCCACGGTGGGCAAAACATCTATTGTGCTCCGTTTAACTGAAGGAACATTTAGAGAAGACCTCCAGAAAACCATTGGTGTGGATTATTACATTTATGTTCTGGAAACCAAACCGACAGTCAGAGTGAAACTACAAGTGTGGGATACAGCAGGAGAAAAGGAACACAGGTTTGCACAAGTTTTGTCTGTGGACTGCTTTAATATTTTGTGGAGATGATGTTTTTATCCTCCAGTTTTATTTACCATATTAGTTAAAACAGTGAATGGTAGAAACTTCAGTTGGTTAAACCAGTTTTATTGCACTTGAACTAATGTTCCTGTTAGTGTAGCTGAAATCTATGTGGCAAGTGAAATGTGGATGATGACTTTGATTAATGTCAAGTTTGGAAATCGGATCTAATGATGTGTGACCTGCAAATAAATGATGCTTCTCTATTGGCAGAATGCTGGACCTGTCCCAAAGTCCATTTTCAATGTTGTTTATTTTACATCACCAGTTCTTTCTGAAGTTTTGGTCTTTCCCTTCAACAACCACTTCCGAACTGCCAATCGAAAATACCTAGATGCCATACTTCCTAAAATTTCTAGTACGCAACACTACTGAGTCTGATCTTAACTCTTTTTATAAGTGGATAAGGGTTAAAATTTCACCCTATTTTCTTGTGAGAAGTTGAATTTTGTAAAACTGAGTTCTGCAAATTAATGCAAGCTGTTCAAGGTTTTGTTTGGATAGATGTCTTTCAATTATGAGACAAATTCAAATATTTAAACTTAGCAACACTATTAACGAGCTTTGCATTCCACAGTAAAATCTTTTGATAGCTGTGAAAGCAGGCTGATAGAGATATCATGGTCTGACTAAAGAGATTTACTGGTATCTGTTTGTTGTTTTGGGTGTGGGACTTACCTCACGTTCAGCAGAGGGTCACGAGGGGCAGTGAGAGGGGAGGAAGGTAGGGGTGTCATGGGTAGGATGGGCATTTTGTTTATATTGGTCTCTGAAGGGAGAGAAAGAGTTTGAGCTTTGTCCATACAAACTGTTGTTTTCAAGGTGTTCTTTCTGAAGGACACTCTAAAAATCCTGGAATTCCCTGACTTTGATGCTAATCTGGGGAGATAGTAGTGCAGTGATGATATCTTTGCACCTGTAAGCAATAGGCCCAGGCAATTTCACTTGGAACATGGGTTCAAATCCCACCAGGGCCATTGGTGGAATTTGAATTCAATTAATAAATCTAGAATATAAAAAGAAACAAGTTAATCTCAGTGGTGGCCATGAAACTATCATCAATTACTGTAAAAATCCATCTGGTTCACTAGTGTTTTTTAGGGAAGGAAATCTGCCATCCTTACCTGCTCTGGCCTACATGTCACTCCAGACCCACAGTCATGTGGGGACTCAATAGCCATGGTCTAGTAAGTCACTCAGTTTAAAAGCTAGCCTTGTCAGTGATACCCACATCCCATCAAATACTTTAAAAAACATGAACAGAACAGTTTACTCCAATGTGTGACATTATTTGGTGAATAACTACAGAATTAACGCACAAGTCATCCAAAAGCCTGATAATGACAAAGTGAAATTAAGCAACCTCAAAGGGTCCATGAGATTTTCTGCTTGTTTTTGAGTTCCCGTATGGTCTCAACCCTCCCCATTTCTGTTACCTGCTCCAACTCCTGAGGTCTCTGTGCTCCTCCAATTTTAGCTATGTCACTATCGGTGTCAGTGCCTTCAGCTGCCTAGATCCCACACTCTGGAATTCCCTCTCTACGCCTTTCCACCTCTCTATCTCACTTTCCTGTTTAAGATTCTTCTTAAAATCTATCTCCTTGACCAAAGCTTTGGCCGTTGGCTTTAATATTATCATATATGGTTAGCTGTCAAGTTTGTTTGTAATAACACCACAATGATGCACTTTGGGAACTTTTAGTGGATTAAAAGTGCTACACAAATACAACATGTTGTGGTTGTTGGTATAGTTTATGTTTTTGTTCTTGTCTCTTTCAGATATGTGTGAAACTGAGGGAACATGTAAGAGTCAGATTAATAATCGAAAGCATGAGACTGAATGCAATTAAATGTAGTAATTTTATTTATCATGTATCAATTTATATTTTGCATATATGTAGTTCATAAGTCATGTTTGAGAATATAATTTAAGTTTTGTATACAAACATACTAATTGGAAGCAGGAACAGGCTATTCAGCCTCTTGAACCTGCTCTGCCATTCAATACAATCCTGGCTGATCTGATTGTAGATTCAACTCTACTTTCCTGTCAAACCCATAACCTTTGACACTCTTGTTACTTAAGAATCTATCTAATGCTACGTATAAATATGCTCAAAGACTGTGTCGTCTTTGCTTTCTGGGGAAGAAAGAGTTAGGAAATGAATTTTTAATTTAGCAAGAGGTGGCATCTAGTTTAGAAACTGGTAATAATCCTGAAATAAGTTTATTACACTTAAAAAGATTGGGGCCATATTGAATTAAAAAAGTAACGTTGAGAAAGGTCGGCCCATAGAACAGTTGATGGGCTATTTCACTAAGGAGCTGGAAACATGACATCTGCCATTATTTATGTGGTTTCCAAATTAATTAAAGGGAAGTTAGTTTGTAGTTCTAGCTGAGAAAGTCCATGTGTGTCATGTTGCCAGGAAGCTGGGTGGACGTTGATGAGATTCCTAGTTTTGAGTTATCGCTGTGAATTCAGTTTGCACATGCAGTACAGCATCAAATAGTGAGATTTTAAGGTGTCAATGCATTTTTCATTTACCTTTCAGAATGCTGTTGACTCCTCAGCAGCAGCACTTCTCCCTCCTCCCCACCCACTCACCTCCCCCAACTCCAGTGATCACAAACTCTTCGATGAGGCGTTTAGTTTAGGGCTTTGACAACCCACCCCAGCGTGTTGTCTACAGAAATAAATGGAATTATCCCACAGTTCTCTCAATAGCAACCCTAATCTCTGGAAGCGGTGCCTGTGTGCTTTGCATCCAAAGCCTGCCCAACCCATGAAAAGGTCACACAAAAATGGCGTGAGGTAGGGAATTCAGAGGAAAATTCATTGTTTCATTGACAGAAAGCTAAGTTCAGTGTTTCATGACCTGATTCACACCTCCACTGGAAGACTGTGCGCTCGTTCCAATACCGGTATGTGATGGACAGGTACAGAATTCAGGCTGCACAAACTTAGATACAGACTTGATGTTTTTTGATTGCTGCTTCTATTTACTAAGCCTCGTGCAAAATGAGATGTTCATGCTGGGCTATTAATGGCACCTATAATCTGTTCAGCACCCTGAGCTGTAACCATGCATGTTTCTGTGCAATCTGCCCATACTTCCCTGGCAATTATTAAATTGTAAACCCAGAAATGCATGTTGCAAGTCCAGCATGTCTGATTTACCTGTATGCGTGACTGTTAAAGTTGTGCTGAAGTGATTGGAGACTGGCAAAACCTAAGCAGGTTTTGATCTTAAATGCCTTCTCCGGATGGTGAGCATTATAACAATTGAGCAAATTTCCTATTACCTTGTAAGCAGAATTATTTGCAAAACATTATCCATTTTCCCTTTTCTCCCCATTCTGAGAGGTTGAGTACATTGGGCCTGTGCTCATTGCAATTTAGAAGAATGAGAGGCAACCTTATTGAAATATGTCGGTGCAGGCTTGGAGGGCTGTAATTTTCTTTGTTCTTTGATACACAAGACTCTTAGGGGACTTGACAGGGTAGATGTGAAAAGGTTGTTGATCCCTGTGGTAGAGCCTAGGACCAGAAGGTATTCATTTAAGACATTGATGAGGAATTTCTTCTCTCAGAGGAGAGTGAATCTGTAGAATTCTTCACTGCAAAGGTCTGTTGAGGTTGGATTGTTAAGTATAGTCAAGGCTGAAATAGACATCTTTTTAAACAGTAAGGGAATCGAGGGTAATGGGGATGTGATGCTGTGGCTTTAAAAAGTTATTTTATCCTTTTTGTTTTGAAGAGAGGTTGTAAAGCAGAGGTGTTGAGCAATCTACCAAAGTCACTAGAGTAAACCGCTTGTGAGGCCTTGGAGTTTTTTAAAAGTTTGAACAATGGAGACAGCCTGGATGGATGTGGCCAGCTCTCTCAGACCAAGCTTTCTTTTTTTTTAGTTTTTAAGCTTAGCTTTAAACAGTTGCTGTTGTGGGCTTGAAGAAGTAGAAGCTATCTCTTCCCTTGGTTACAGCTAGAAGCTAAGGTTTCTCTCTGCTGTTGGGCAACCTGTGAGACAAAACTATTTTTTTTGAATTTTTACCAAGGTGTGTGTGTTTATGGGATGTTACTATATTGGAACAGTTAATTAGTAATAGTTACTGTATCTATTATTTTGTCACGTTTTCCAGTAGAGTACAGTTATTCTAGAATCCTCTTTCTTTGGTTGTATTTTAACTAGTGTTTAAATAAATTGTTTTGCTTAATGTTGAACAGTTTGGCCAGTCAAATTGCATCAGCGCTTGAACACAATGCTTCACATTTGCCTTTAAAATAAGATGAAGTGGGGGTCTAGGCTATCTTCTTGAAATATTTTGAGGGGATTGGTCTGCTCCATAATGGGGGAAAAGGCAGGAAAGTGGAGTTGAGGATGATCAGGTTGGTCATGATGTCATTGAATAGCAGCGTGGACTTGATGGGCTGAATTGCCTATGTGTTATGGTGCTGTTGCAACAGATGAAAAATGGTTACTTCAAACTTAAAATATTTATAACTTCAAAGGTTTTCCATTTTGCCAGATGCAGTGGCTATTTTACATGATGTACAACTGGGTAGCTGACTAGATGTTTGCCTGAAAGATGTTCTTAAAGTCCAAGAAATGGTGGAATAGATTTTGCAGTTTCAGCGTATATTGGATTTTTTGGGACAGTGGAAGAGGGGGGCACATTTGGAAGACTACCCATTCTGTTTTAATTTATTACATTCATGGTCTATTAGCCAGGAAAATCCACTTAGTGTGACATGGCTCGACGTTATGCTATTTTTGATTCTCTTTCAGAACCATCACATATTCACACCTCCAAATGATACTTGGTGGACTGCTCGTGTTTGATTTAACAAATCGCCAGTCTCTTGACTACCTTACAAACTGGCTGCATGAAAGCGGTACTGTGCTTGACCAGTGCAAGTGTATCTTCATCCTGGTTGGACACAAAAGTGATCTATCAGCTGAGAGGCAAATCTCTCAAGAGGAGGCTGAACAGATAGCAGCACATTTGGGAGTGAGATACATCGAGACGTCTGCCAAAGATGACACTAACATACAGGAGGTTTTTCTCACTCTGGCATCATCAATCGCTGAATCAGTGAAAACTGAGTGACAAGTGAAAGGAGGGAATCACTGTGATCAATGGTGATTTATTTTTAAACAAACATTTTTGCCAATGGATTTTTGAAAACAATATGTCATTTTGGTTGAATGTATTGATAATTTTGGCTGAAAATCTACTTTAAATTGAGATGAAAGGTACTTCCTGAAAGGGAAACAATATTCTTGGTCAACACAAGGCACTTTCTTTCTAGCAACCTGCAAAACAGACCCATGAACTAGGGACAGTTTGATGATAATGCCTGATAAACAATTAATAACTTCAGAGAGAAGACTGTGCCCCTTATGAACAGTGTCACTGCTGTATTTGTAGTTTTATTTTTTTTGTGTGTAAATATAAAATTTTCCCATGGTACCAAGGTATTGTTTCACCATACAGCAAGTGCTTTACTGATTGATGACTGACAGCGGTAACAGACAGTCATGACTGGTCGCTATTATATGTCTCAGTCCCAGCACAGAGAATATAAATTCCCAACTTATACAGAAAGATGGGTGAGGAAAAATTGGTTTTAAATCTAAAGTTTTATATGCATTTAGTTGAAACACTAATGACAGACAAGATACTTCAAGCTGTGAAAATCTACTGGGGTTACAAGTAATTGTAAATTGTACAAGTAATTATAAATTATAATTTAACTTATGAACTAGTTGATGACAGCACTGTATTCATTCCATGTCTTAAAAAAATTTAAATGGTGTATATAAAGGTGAAAGCTCTATGGTGTTTAAGACATCTGAAAGCAATTCTTTGTTTTTAGTCGCTTTTTATATTGCTTCTGAAAATGACTCAAAATAAAATAAACCATGTTAATTCTCCAGGTTCCATTTGAGAATGTGTTTTGGGCATTCTAGCCAGAATTAACATGCTCTTGTGACTAATTAATAAGTAATTACAAGAGTATTACTGATAGGTTTGGGCAGAATGCATAAACTTCAACCTTTAAAAATAGAATAAGACAGTACATCCCAAACTCTCTACCATCTAGAAGGACAAGTGCAGCAAATACAAGGGAATACTACTATCTGCAAGATCCCCTCCAAGACACTCACCATCCTGACTTGGAAATAGATCACCGTTCCTTCAGTGTCACTGGGTTAAAATCCTGGATCTCCCTCCCTAAAAGCACTGTGGGTGCATGAACTTGGGCAGCATGATGTTCATGATGGCAGTTCACCAGCAGTTTCTCGAGCAGTTGGGGATGCGTAATAAACATTGACCTAACCAGTGATGCTCACATTCCATCGTTGAATAAAAACATTGCAACACAGAGGGGGCCTATCTTGTCTATACCATCCCTTTGAAAGAGCAATCTAACCAGTCTCTCACTCCTATATTGTTCGCATTACCCTACAGATGCTTCCTTTTTAAACATTTATCTGACTCCCTTTTGCATGTTTCTATTGAATCTACATTCACTGCTGTGTTCTAGACAATCATAGCATAAAAGTTCTCATTCAGCCTTATTCTTACTAATTTTGACCGACATTCCTCTGGTCGCTGACCTAATGAAAAGCGAAAACAATTTCTCCTTTATTTGGTCTCTAAGTCCTCAATTTTAAGTGGCTGTACTCAGTTGTCCTATTCACTGCTGAAAGGACATCAACCTGAAACATTAAACCTACCTCTGTCTCCATAAGTGCTGCTTGAGCTGCTGAGTAGTTCTAGCAACTTCTACATTTATTTCAGATTTCTCTTGTCAACAGTAGTTAGCTTTTGTTTAATTCTTCTCAGTCTGAAGAGGAACACTCCCCCATATTTCCAAGCTTCAATACTTCATTTGAAATCCCTCAACCCTGTTGTTGTTCTGGTAGATCTCTTCTCCAACCTCAGACTGTAATATGCTTCCTAAAGTGTGATTCTTCGGGTTGGTACGGTACTCCAGCTGAGGCCAAACCACGCAATCCAAGCTTTCATCTTGGACTCTCAGGCCTGACACAAGAATGCCAAATTTCAATAGAAACAACATGCATCACAAGTAGATAACGCACATCACTGCTTTTTGTCATTTATATAAATGATTTGGATGTGAACATAGGAGGTATGGTTAGTAAGTTTGCAGCTGACACCAAAACTGGAGGTGCAGTAGACAGCCAAGGAGGTTACCTCAGAGTACCGATGGACCAATGGGCCAAGGAGTGGGAAATGGAGTTTAATTTAGATAAATGTGAGGTGCTGCATTTTGGTAAGCAAATCAGGGCAGGACGTATACACTTAATAGTAAGGTCCTGGGGAGTATTGCTGAACATAGTGACCTTGGAGTGCAGTTTCATAGTTCCTTAAAACTGGAGTCAGAAGTAGACAGGATAGTGAAAGCAGCGTTTGATATGCTTGCCTTTATTGGTCCGTGCATTGAATATAGGAGTTCATAGGATCCCTACAGTGTGGAAACAGGCCCTTCAGTCCAACAAGCCCAAGCCGACTCTCAAGAGCATCTCCCTATAACCCACCTAATCTACACATCCCTGAACACTATGGGCAATTTATCATGGCCAATCCACCCAGGCTGCACATCTTTGGACTGTGGGAGGAAAGCGGAGCACCCGGAGGAAACCCACGCAGGCATGGGGAGAATGTGCAAACTCCACACAAATAGGTGCCCGAGGGTGGAATCAAATCCGGGTCCCTGGTGCTGTGAAGCAGCAGTGCTAACCACTGAGCCACCGTGCCACCCTGTAAACCAAATACCTGCAATCATCAGGGCTTGGACCGGGAATTGAACCCAGAGCCTCTCGCACATCTGTGATCTACAATCCCCAAAGCAAGAATTATACACCTAGACCAACGAGCCATTGTAGGTCATTGTTGTGGCTGTACAGGGCATTGGTTAAGCCACTTTTGGAATACTCTGTTCAGTTCTGGTCTCCCTGCTATACGAAGGATGTTGTGAAACTTGGAAGAGTTCAGAAAAGATTTATAAGGATGATGCCATGGCTGAAGGGTTTGAGCTATAGCAGAGGCTAGATAGGCTGGGCTATTTTCCCTGGAGCATCAGAGGCTTAGTGGTGACCTTTTAGAGGTTTATAAAATCATGAGGGGCATCGATAGGTTGAATAGCCACAGTCTTTTCCCCATGGAAGAGGACTCCATAACTAAAGGGCATAGGTTTAAGGTGAGAGGAGAAAGATTTAAAAGGGACTTAAGGGGCAACTTTTACACGCAGAAGGTGGGGCGTGTGTGGAATGGATAGTTAAGTGAATAGAAAGGGTTTAAAGGGATTTGGGCAAAATGCTAGCAAATGGGACTAGATTAATTTAGGATATCTGGTCGGCCTGGACAAGCTGGACCGAAGGGTCTGTTTCAATGCTGTATATCTTGATGACTCCAGATAATCCACAGCTCTGAAAAAGAGACATTGGATTCAATGTTAAATTGTTTCTCTCTCCACAGATCTCGACTATCTGTCCTGACACCCTGCTTCCTATAAAGACTCTATTCCATTCTCCCGGTTTCTCTGTCTCCGTCACGTTTGTCCTGATGATACCAACTTTGACAATGTCTTTGAAAATGTCCACCTCCTTCCTCAACTGAGGAACGTCCCAGCACCGTAGTTGACAGAGCCCTCAGCCAGGTCTGACCCATCTCCTGCACTTCAACCCTCACCATCTCTCTTCCCTCCCACAACAGCAACTGTCCTCCTTGACCTACCGTCCCACCAGCAGCTACATCCAGAGGATCATTAGCTGCCATTTCCGCCACCTCCAGCAAGGTACATATCCCCCTCCCCTCCTTTGTCAGCCTTCCACAAGGATCATTCCTTCTGGGATACCCTGGTCCACTCCTCCTTCACTCCCAATACACCCCCACGGCACCTTCCCCTGTAACCCAGGTGTAACATTGGTCCATTTACATCCTCACTGCTCAGTATCTGAGGGCCCAAACACACCTTCTAGGTGAAGTAGTGCTTTACCTGCACGTCACTCAATCTAGCACTGGGGGCTTACAATTACCCCTTCCTCCACACCTCCCCCCCCCCCCCCACCCCCCCACCTTCTGCATTAAAAAAAAACTTTTTCCTAGCTACCATCAGTTCTGAAGGGTCACTCGACCTGAAACATTAACTCTGATTTTTATTCACAGCTGCTGCCAGACCTGCTGAGATTTTCCAGTAATTTCTGATTTTTTTTTCTCTTTGGTCCAGAGGCAGGGATACTACCACTGTGCCACAAAAGTGTCTACTTTACTTTTTATTCCCACCCAAATCACTTATGGTCATTTTTTAACGTAAAACATGAGACAGAAAGACAGACACCATTGTGAATAGACTTTGTTATGTATATTTTACCTTCCACCACCAGGAAAACACCTATGTGGTCAACTGAACATTAACAAGCAAAGCCTGTTAAAGGCAATACACTCATAAAACGTGAGGTGGAGGGGTAGGGAGAGGAAGAAGGGACTGAATCAAAATGGGAGATAGAGGGGGAAGTAAAGCACTCCATTCCCCACGGTGCCCACCTCTCCCTAAACGCATCAAAAGCACTGGTGGACACTGCGTGCTCCCTCTCCCATGATACCCGACTTCGAATGTAACCTTGGAAGAGGCACAGACAATCAGCAGAGATGACCCCCTCCACAACCCGCTGCCTGGACCTGTTTATTGTCAGCCTAGTCACGTCCAGGAGTAGAACCACAAGGTGGTCCCTCCAAGGTGGTCCCTCCAATCTGCCCACATCCCCCCCCACTGGGTACCCAAAGTTCAGGAGTGTGCAAACAAAAACATTGCAAAAGGTTTATCAAATAACTAAAAATGGAGTGCAAATGCCCACAACCAATATACACATGGCCCACGGACTCCACTGCGCCACAAAATAAACAGTTGGGCTGAGAGTCCATGAACCGCTGCAATTTGTGGAGGAAGGAAGGGCTCACAGGTCCCTTGCCTTCCTCACGAGTCCCTGGAGGAATATCCTGACCCGCTGCTGGTCATTCCAGGTCAACCCAGCTGGACCAGACAATCAGTTCAAAATCGTTCCACCGGTCCAGAGCCAGCTAGACTCTATCGCAACACCTAGACTTTTGCCAGAAAATCCCAGAGGCCCTCGATAGGGATGAGGTGGGGGGAAAATGAAGTCTTGAAATGAATTGATAGCTCAGATTTTGTTACAACCTTCTCCATCAGCTCTGTGCCAGAGGGGACGCAACCCATCATAGAGAGGAGGCAGATCCTTCTGTTTTTATTCAGTCATGGGATGCAAACCTCACTGAGCAGGCTAGCATTAATGTTAGCTTGCTATCTCTTCACGGATGCTGCCTGACCCGCTGTGATCTGCAGCATTTGTTGTTTTTAGTACAGATTCCAGCATCTGCAGTAATTTGCTCCTCCGTACAATGACCAACATCGGGGTTGAGGGATTTCAACTGAAGTGTTGAATTCAAAGAAAGATATCAAAACAGTGATAACAGTAAACAGTAACTGAAGGACTGGGTATGGCAGTGATTGTTCCTTTAGTGCTAACTACGCTATAGGGTAAAGTAAAAGTGTTTCATGAGACAAATTTCAGAGTTTGATGCAAATAACTAACAACTAACAAGTTATATTCAGGGACTAGTTAATATTTGATCTAGATTGATTTTAGTTTTTGTCTTAAAAAAATTCTACTTTTAGAAATCATTTCCCTTACTTCTAGTGGAATTTCAGTCTCTATGGGATTGTAACACTTAGTAAATGGGAAAGCATGATAGCTTGAGCCTGATCTTGCATAGTTCAACAAAGAGCTCGTGCAGAATTTAGTATATAAAATTATAGTTGTCTAGGATATTCTGTCCTGAAAAGTAAACAAACAACATAACTCAGTCAGGGAAAATCCATAAAACGTCACTGTTGTAAAATAATCATTGGCATATAATAGTAAAAAATATTCAAAATTCCCCAAGACTTGAAGTGGCTCATAAAAGTAAGATGCACCAAGACTAGATTTTAAGTTTACAACTCAAGTCATTAGTATCATTTACGAACAATTTTTTTTTGGCACATTGTCACCCTGAAGTCATCTTGCGATATGGAATGATTTTAAAGTGGCAGTACACTCTTATTGCACTGATAGACTCAATGATAGTGGAGATCTGTTAAGACTGATTTAACCTACATAATTAACCACAGGTAAATGAGCTCTATGTTACAGCAGGAATGGAGTGAATTATACAGCTCTGCAGAGGGATGGTGCATTTAGTCATACAGCATGGAAACACACTCTTTGGCCCAAAATGGTCTACGCTGACCATGGTGCCCACTCAGCTAGTTTCAACTACCTGCATTTGATCCATATCCCTCAAACCTCTTCCCATCCATGTACCTATCCAAATGCTTTTTCAGTTTTGCTATTGTACCTGCCTCAGCCACTTTCTCTGGCAGCCCATTCCATATACACACCACTGTCTTCATGAAGAAGTTGCCCCTCAGGTCCTTCTTAAATCTTTCTCCCCTCACCTTAAATCTATGCCCTCTAGTTTTCAATTCCCCATCCCTGGGAAAGCGCTACATGCATTCATCTATCTATGCCCCTCATGATTTTATACACCTCAATAAGGTCACCCCTCATTCTCCTACGTTCCAAGGAATAAAGTCCTATTCCTGGCCAACCTCTCCCTATAACTCAGGCCTACTAGTCCTGGCAACATCCTCATAAATCTTCTTTGCACACTTCCCAGTTTGACCATGACTTTCCCATAACCGTGTGACGAAAACTACACAAGTACTACAAGTGTGGCCTTACCAACGACTTATAAAACCGTAGCATAATGTCCCAACTCCAATATATCAATGCCTCAACCGATGAAGGCCAACATGCTGAATGCCTTCTTCACCACCTTGTAAAGCTGCTTTCAACAAACTATGTGCTTGTACTCCTAGGTCCCTCTGTTCCACAGCACTCCTCAGGACCTTACCATTTACTGTACAAGTCCTATCTTGGTTTGACTTTCCAAAGTGCAACACCTCACACTTCTCTGTATTGAATTGCATTTGCCAATCCTCAGCCCACTTCCCCATCTAATCAAGATCCCTCTAATTTATGATAACCCTCCTTGCTATCAACGATACCTCCTAATTTTGTATCATCTGCAAACATACTAATCATGCCTTGTACATTCACATCCAGATCACTTATGTAAATAACAAAAAACAAAGATCCCAGCATTGGCCCCTGTGGCACACTTGTCACAGCCTCCAGTTCAAGAAACAACCTTCAACTATCACCCTCTGCTTCCTACCGTCGAGCCAATTTTGAATCCAATTATCTAGCTCTTCCTGGACCCCATTGCAACCTAACCTTCACGATTAGCCTGCCATGCAGGACCTTGTCAAAAGCCTTAATAAAGTCCACATAGACAACATCCACTGCCCTACCCTCATCTATCCTCTTGGTACCTCTTCAACAAACTCAAAGATTTGTTAGACATGACTGCCCATGCACAAATCCATGCTGACGACCCAAATGTTGGTTGATCCTGACCCTCAGTATCCTCTCCAATAACTTCCCTACCACTGACATCAGGCTCACCAGCCTGTAGTTCCCTGGCTTGTCTTTGCTACCTTTTATAAACAATGGAACAACATTAGCCAACCTCGAGTCTTCCAGAACTTCACCAGTGGCTAAAGGTCAAGCTAAAATCTCTGCAAGGACCTCTGCAATTACTTCCTTAGTCTCCACAACGTCCAAGGATAGACTTGATCAGGCCCAGGGAATTTATTCACTTTAATGCAATCTAACGCTGCAAACACCTCCTCTCTGGTAATATGTATGTGGTCCAAATTATCACCACTTGTTTCCCTTATTTCCTTATGATTCTCTCCTCAGTAAACACAGAGGAGAAATATTCGTTAAAAACAGATGGCCTTTCTGATCTTTAGGAGGACCTATTCTCTCCCTAGCCACCCTTTTACTCTTAATATAGCTATAGAACCTTTCGGGATTATCCTTATCTGCCAGATCCATCTCATACCCTCTTTTCGCTCTTCTGATTGCCCTCTTAAGTGTTCTCCTACACTTAGAGTAATCTAAGAAATCACCCGAGTCCAAAAGCTTAAACCGAATGTATGCCACCTTCTTTTTCCTGACCAGAGCCTCAATATCCCTCGTCAGCCAGTGATCCCTAAACTTGCCACTTTTCCCTTCACCCTAACAGGGACACACCATCCCTGGACTCTTGAAATCACACTTTTAAAAGCCTCCCATTTGCCAGTCGTTCCTTTTCCTTCAAAACAGACCCACCCAATCGACCGCTGCTAGATCCTGTCTAACGGCCCCAAAATTGTCCCCGCTCCAGTTTAGCGCCTCAACCTGTGGACCTGTTGTATCTTTTGCCACACCTGTGTTAAAACTAAGAGTGTTACGGTCACTGGCCCCAAAGTGCTCTCCAACTGACACTTCAGTCACTTGCCCGACCTCATTTCTCAAGAAAGTCCAGTGTTGCACCCTCCCAAGTACGGCCCTCTACATATCGATTCAGGAAACTTTCTCGGACACATTTAACAAATTCCACCCCGTCTGGGACTTTTACACCCTAGGCGGCCCAGTCAATACAGGAGAAATTAAAATCTCCAACCAACACTACTGTTATTCCTATAGGTATCTACACTCTCTCTACATATCTGCTCCTCTAATACCCGCTGGCTATTTGGGACCATCTGCTTCTTGTTTCTAAGTTGTAATCATATGGCCTTATTTGACATATTTTTAGTCATTAGACTAATATTTTTACATCTACATTAAAAATGGCAGAAGTACACTTCAAAACCATAAAATATAGGAGTACACTATTCAGCCCATTGGGTCATCCATGCCAGTGAGATCACAGCTAATCTGATAATCCTCAACTCCATTTTCCTGTCTTTTCCCCATCATCTTGATTCCCTTATTGATTAGAAATCTGTGTTAGCCTCGGATACGCTTAACAGCCCAGTCTTGACAGCCTTCTGTAGTAGGAATTCCACAGATTCACTACTGAGGGAAGAAATTCCTCTTGATCTCTATTTTAAGGTTGCAATCTCATATTTTGAGATAATGTCCTCTGGTCCTAGACTCTTCCATAAGGGGCAATAACCTCTCCACAGCTGCCCTGTCAAATCCTCTAAGAATTTTCATGTTTCAATAAGTTTGTCCCTCATTCTTCTAAACTCCAATGAGTACAGGCCGAACCTACTCAACCTCACCTCATTAAGGACAGTCCCTCCATATCTGATCAGCCGACTGAACCTTCTCTGGTTTGTCTCCAATGTCAATGTACCTTTCTACTGATAAAGGATACCAAAATAGATCACAACTGAAAAGTTTTGAACAATATAGTGCCCTGTACAGTTTTAGTAAAGCATCTCTATTTTTGTACTTAATTCCCTTTTAAATACAGTAGATAAATCTAATTATACTAGCAAAGATGGCTCAAAAGGTGTAGATTACAATTAAGCACATTCACATTCAAGTTGAGTAATACTTTTATTGGCAAAAACGGTCATTATTACCTCTATACAAAGATACGAAAACCAACTACTTAACACTCCACCAAATGAAAGTCCCAATTTAACACGCTACCATTAATCAACAAAGAAACATCACTGCTCCATACACACACCATCCACTTTGTACAAGTCCTTGTATTGTGTTTTCAGGAGGGATCATCAAGTACTGAACATTTTTGGTACAGTATGTTGGTACCAATACAAAGCTATCTCAGTTCACTTTCACAAAAAACCGAACACACTGTGTCACCCATCACAGGTTCCTCAACAGAAATGGAGGATAAGCCTGAGAATGTTTTGTAACATTCATAACTTTGTCGTAGAAATGGTCTGTTCAGCCATGCTTTACTTTTTGGTTGTTTTACGTATCAGTGCCATTCTCTGCAAGAAAGAAGCCACATGGTCATGAAAGGATTTCATTTGCAATTCTTATTTGAAAATATGAGTCTAGAACAAAGAATTTGACCTGGGCATGCAATCTAAATTGATGATATTAGAGAAAGCATAGATAAAGAATGAATTAGTCAAGCAAGACGATTGAGGCAATAAGCATTGAGGTATTTTACAGTGAAATGATAGGCATAATCTTTGCCTCATGTACTTTAGAAACATCGCAAAATATTAAGTGTAAAATTATACTCTCAAACAACAGGGGATGGGCAAAAACAGTAGTCCAACAAAATTACAGTTGTGTAAACCAATCATTTAATGAAATTTATTAATGCTCCAATCCCCACCTACCCCTAAAAGGCTAGCAGCTGCTCTACCAAAAGGAATACAAGTTAAAGTCCAGCCTTGTTTATCTCTCCGTACACATTAGATCATTACAAGGATGATGTGGGGCCAGGGTAAGGGAGGAGAAGTACAACAATGGCAGTGCCATTGAATATCAAGGGGCATTGGTGGACATGGTCATTGCATGGTAGTTCTGTAGTATGAATGTTACTTGCCACTTATCAGCCTGAACCTGGATGTTGTCCAGGTCTGGCTGCATATCAACCAAAGACTGCGTCAGTAAGAGAGCTGTTGGGAATGGTGAACATGTTTGTTGATAACTGTCCAATCGTAACAGTAGAAATAAGGATGGAAAGAAGGATGGACACTAATCTGAGGTACTCCTGCAATGATGTCTGAGACTGGGATGACTGACTTCCAGCAACCATCTTCCTTTCTGTTAGGTATGACTCCAACCTATAGAGAATCTAGCTGTAGAGCACAAGGCTTTAATACTAACTCCTGTTTGTTGTTTAATTGTCCACCACGATTTATGACTTGATGTGGAAGGGCTGCAGAACCTAGAACAATTGTGGGATTCATCTCAATGCCAAATTCCTGTTTTCTCTCCAGTCCCCTTGATGCCTTTGAATTTTTTTAAAAAAAGATATTCAGAAAGATATTCAATCTCTTTCATTACTTTACTCAATGACCTGGGCTCCATGGCCTCCACAGGTAGAGAAGCCCACAGTTTGACCACCCAAGTGAAGAAATATTTCCTAAAAAATAAAAAACCCCTCATTTCTCAAAACTGGAAAGCAAACCTGGTTAATAAATAGCCCAAGTGTCACTATGTTATCGGCTAACCATGGTTACTTGCAGAAAAGTAATACTTTCACATTGTACTAAAATATATTTTGAAGCCGCCATATTTCTAACCTGTTTATGAGCTTCTGTTGTGCAGGCCTTCTTATATGGCCTAATTTCATCTGAACCAAAACCAGGTATCCACATGTTCCACTGGCGTTCTGTGCAAAAGAAAAGTAGATACATTTCCTTACCAATTATTTAGTGTTTCTGAGAATAAGATTCTCTTATGACTCTGGTGGAAGCAGTGCACTGGAAGTCAAAACCTACTACTCCATGAGCCATACCAGAAGTGTCAATGTCTTATTCAATTACCAGAATTAATTTGTTTCTCTTTATAACTGTTAACTAGAAGAGGAGAAATTTTAGACTCAGAATCCCTAGTGTGGAAGCAGGCCATTCAGGCCATCGACTCTAAACCGACCCTCCAAAGAGTATCCTACCCATTCTTCAGTTTCTTGTTGATGACTGCACATTCCTATAATTCTGTGATCTGCAGAAAAAACTTCAGACCAGATTTCAAATTCAGATGAGAAAAAGGGTGTGCTGCTTTCACCTACAAGCTCTTGAATCCTAGAGAGACAGCATTGCATCTTTGTAAACTTCTCTAGAGACTGCCCACAGCTTCAACGTGTGCAACACCCATTACTCAGTCCAGAGACTGTTGGCAAGCAAAGGCAGAATAGATTTATTAGGGGTTTATTCGTCTGTATTCTGCACCAATAAAGAAATAAATCTTTGCATGGCACTGCTTTCCCAAGCCACTTGTGTCTTTGTCAGCAACAAATAGACCATGGTCTCCTTTGCAGTTCCAAGCAATCAAAATGATAAATGCTTTGCAGCCTAGTAATGTCAAAATGATTATTTTCCATTTCTCATAACCCATAAATATGCATTCTCAACAAAACTTTATAATAAGCAAAACCTGCACAAAAACATAAATCACTATAAATTCTGACTAAAAACTCAAAGTTCCAACAATGACCCCTGAAAATAGCAGGAGCTTCATCAGCCAATAACCCGGAGAGATTACTAACTCAGACCAATATCAGAGACAGTGTCAGAATAATAACATTTGACCACTTTTTAAAAATGTTTCATGATTTTTGAATACTGATTCTTCTCCATGTAAATTGAATCATGTTAGATGAATAAATTTTTGACCGTGATTCTGCTTATTAATTCTTAAGTGTTATAAAAGAACAAAGAAAATTACAGCACAGGAACAGGCTCTTCGGCCCTCCAAGCCTGCGCTGGTCCAGATCCTCTATCTAAACCTGTCGTCTATTTTCCAAGGATCTGTATCCCTCTGCTCCCTGCCCATTCACGTATCTGTCTAGGTACATCTTAAATGACGCTATCATGCCTGCCTCTACCACCTCCGCTGGCAACCCGTTCCAGGCACCCACCACCCTCTGCGTAAAGAATTTTCCATGCATATCTCCCTTAAACTTTTCCCCTCTCACCTTGAAATCATGATCCTAGTAATTGAGTCCCCCACTCTGGGAAAAAGCTTCTTGCTATCCACCCTGTCTATACCTCTCATGATTTTGTAGACCTCAATCAGGTCCCCCCTCAACCTCCATCTTTCTAATGTAAATAATCCTGATCTACTCAACCTCTCTTCATAGCTAGCACCCTCCATACCAGGCAACATCCTGGTGAACCCCCTCTGCACCCTCTCCAAAGCATCCACATCCTTTTGGTAATGTGGTGACCAGAACTGTATGCAGTATTCCAAATGTGGTCGAACCAAAGTCCTATACAACTGTAACATGACCTGCCAACTCTTGTACTCAATACCCCGTCTGATGAATGAAAGCATGCCGTGTGCCTCCTTGACCACTCTATCGACCTGCGTTGCCACCTTCAGGGTACAATGGACCTGAACACCCAGATCTCTGTGCATCAATTTTCCCCAGGGCTTTTCCGTTTACCGTATAGTTCGCTCATGTTATGTTATAGTTATAGCTAGCTCCAAATGGCTCATGTTATAGTTATGTTAATAATGATGCTCAGGCAGCAAAAATTGTACACAGTCTTCAAACAAGACAGTTATATTGCATCTTAAACTGCAATGTTTAAATGCCATTCATTGCAGTAAATCCACATAATGTAATGCATCATGCCACATACCAAACCATTACCTGTTTTGATCAGGATAATGCCTGACACTTCAACGAGATGCTGATCAATCATTTCCCTTTGTTTCCCTTCTATACCAGGTAACTATTTTTAATGGGTGGGGACGGCCTAGTGGTAATATCACTGGATTGTTAATCCAGAGACCCAGGTAATGTTCAGGGGATCTGGGTTTGAATTCCGCCAGGGTAGATGGTGGAATATGAATTCAATAAAAATATGGAGTTAAGAGTGTAAAGACGACCATGAATCCATTGCTGGTTGTTGGAAAAATTCATCTGGTTCATTTCCTTTAGGGAAAGAAACTGCCATACTACCAGAGATAAAACTCTTTTCACTAATTTGAGAAAGCCTCAACTCATGGTTTCTTTATAAACTGGTAAACATAATCAGATAACTTGATAAATTCACAGATGCAATGCCTTACTGTTGCAAAACACAACAGCTTATAATCAGACTCTTGCTGAGTGGTTACTAGCCTTAAATAAGCACTTATAACATAATTACTGGTGTCCTGGCCAATATTTATCCCACAATCACTACAAAATAAAAACAGATGATTATTTGGGTCATATCTCAATGGTGTTTTTGGGATTATGTGGTGTGTAAATTGGTTATTGTTTCCTACATTGTGCATATATGGAAATGGGCTGCCAGAGAAAGTGGTTGACGCAGGTACAATAGCAACTTTTAAAAAAAATTGAATAGTTACATGGATGGGAAGGGTTTGAGGGATATGGACCAAATGCAGCCAATTGGAGCTAGCAGAGTGGACACCATAGTCAGCATGGACCAGATGGGCCGAAGGGCCTGTTTCAATGCTGTATGACTATGACATTGTAACAGTGACTACAGTTACAATGTATTTAATTGGCTCGAAAAAGTGCCTTGGGATGTTGTGAGGTCATGAAAGGCACAATAGAAATGGAAGATTTCTGTCTATTTGCAATTCATAATTATGTGTTTGAGATTATTTTCAGGATAGTGTTTTATAAAATATCAAGATGACAAATGTTTATTCAAAACATACCAAGATGCAGCTGAACATCCTTTACTTCCAGTGTGTTTGACTTGCGGTGACGTGCTAGTTGACATGCGGCACTCACTACGCTTTCAATAAAATCATCAGCAATTTGCAAAAGCATCTACAGGTGGGAGACAAAAACTTTTGATTAAAATATTCTATATAACAGAAGCTGGAACCTATGATCCTTAGCTAAAGGTGTCATGCACTTTAGAGGTATATCATAAATATTACGATTCAGGGGGTTCTGCTAGAATGCTTGTCCCAGCAACATGAATTGGCTATAACGCAACTGTTGAGTAGGGAACACTATTTCTAAAACGCGAACTCCTGTTGTCTATAACGCAATTCCACCAAGTACATGTCAACATCACGGGCTTTGTCAAAGGAAGATTTTTTTTTTGATCCTTGCAGATAGTGTAAATGTTCAGAGTAAGTCATAATGAGCTCATTTGAAAAAGGTAATTAGATTATATGTCATAAACCTCAAATATAATATTGCACAGAGAACAACCACCTTATTAGGAAAATGTGAAGTCTTAGTTTGAAGAGTTTATGCTGAACACATTAAATGCAAAAAAAGTATGGTTTAAAATAATATGAAATTGTTAAAACAAGCACCTTTGTGTGTAGTATTTTTGCCCAGATTTTGTTACATATTAAGGATGTTAAGAACTTTTGAACTTGCTCACGTAAATCATTTATACCAAAAGTTGTCTGTGATACAACCTGCTCTTTCCAGCACTATTTTGAATACAATCCTACAATTAACTTCAATGTCAATGAGCTACATAGGAAAGAAAAGTCAGATTCCTCTACTTCACTTATCTGAATATCTATCCAGAAGTCTGTGTTGATAGAAAGTCAGGTCACATCAGCAATGGGCTAGGCTGTGATGCAGACGATGTTGCTGGTGAATAGATTTTATTTGACTACAAGTGTCAAGGCTCACACAAGTGACAGGTATTGTGCCAATACTTATAGGAGAGTGGTGAAGAAGAATTTTGTGTGATATATTTTGGTGGTCTGCCCCTAACTCCGCTTTTCCCATAGGCCCCGTTATTTCTATAATGCAATGGGCTAGGCTGTGATGCATTAGGGTGGACAAGTTCCCAGGTCCGGATGGGATCTATCCCAGGTTAGAGGGAAATCTTTGCAGCATCCTTGAGCACAGGTGAGGTCTCGGAGGACTGGAGAATTGCTAATGTTGTCCCCTTGTTTAAGGAGGGTAGCAAGGATAATCCAGGTAATTATAGACCGGTGAGCCTGACGTCAGTGGTGGGGAAGCTGCTGGAGAAGATACTGAGGGATAGGATCTATTTACATTTGGAAGAAAATGGGCTTATTAGTGATAGGCAGCATGGTTCTGTGCAGGGAAGGTCATGTCTTATCAACTTGATAAAATTCTTTGAGGAAGTGACAAAGTTGATAGATGAGGGAAGGGCTGTCGATGTCATATACATGGACTTCAGTAAGGCGTTTGATAAGATTCCCCATGGTAGGCTGATGGAGAAAGTGAAGTCGCATAGAGTCCAGGGTGTACTAGCTAGATGGATAGAGAACTGGCTGGGCAACAGGAGACAGAGAGTTGTAGTGGAAGGGAGTTTCTCAAAACGGAGGAAAACTGTGACCAGTGGTGTTCCACAGGGATCCATGTTGGGACCACTGTTGTTTGTGATATACATAAATGATCTGGAGGAAGGTATAGATGGTCTGATTAGCAAGTTTGCAGATGACACGAAGATTGTCGGAGTAGCAGATAGTGAAGGGGACTGATGGAGAATGCAGCAGAATATAGATAGATTGGAGAGTTGGGCGGAGAAATAGCAGATGGAGTTCAATCCAGGCAAATGCGAGGTGATGCATTTTGGAAGATCCAATTCAAGAGCAAACTATACACCCTGGGGAAAATTGATGCACAGAGATCTGGGTGTTCAGGTCAATTGTACCCTGAAGGTGGCAATGCAGGTCGATAGAGTGGTCAAGGAGGCATACGGCATGCTTTCATTCATCATAAGGGGTATTGAGTACAAGAGTTGGCAGGTCATGTTACAGTTGTATAGGACTTTGGTTTGACCACATTTGGAATACTGCGTAACAGTTCTGGTCGCCACATTACCAGAAGGATGTGGATGCTTTGGAGAGGGTGCAGAGGGGGCCCACCAGGATGTTGCCTGGTATGGAGAGCGCTAGCTATGAAGAGAGGTTGAGTAGGTCAGGATTATTTACATTAGAAAGACGGAGGTTGAGGGGGGACCTGATTGAGGTCTATAAAATCATGAGGGGTATAGACATGGTGGATAGCAAGAAGCTTTTTCCCCCCAGGGTGGGGGACTCAATTACGAGGGTCATGATTTCAAGGTGAGAGGGGAAAAGTTTAAGGGAGATATGCGTGGAAAGTTCTTTATGCAGAGGGTGGTGGTGCCTGGAATGGGTTGCCAGCAGAGGTGGTAGAAGCAGGCACGATAGTGTCATTTAAGATGTATCTAGACAGATACATGAATGGGCAGGGGGCAGAGGGATACAGATCCTTGGAAAATAGGCGACAGGTTTAGATAGAGGATCTGGATCAGCGCAGGCTTGGAGGGCCGAAGGGTCTGTTCCTGTGCTGTAATTTTCTTTGTTCTTTGTTGTGCTGGAATGCAACTATCGCATTATAGCAGAACCCCCTTATTACCCTCTGAGCTATTGCTCGTGTCCAAATCAAACACGGTACACAAGGAAACCATTATCACGTATGAATCAGATTGTTTTTGATGTATATCTAAAGTCACAAAGTGCTGGAGAAACTCAGGAGGTCTGGCAGCATCTGTGGACAAAAAAAAAAAATTTAGTTTCGAGTACAATATGACTTCTTCGGAACTGCCAAATACTTGAAGGACATACAAGCATGCATGGTCTATACGATGTGGAGGTTACAAGGAGAGGGAGGGGTGAAGCTTTGAAGAGATTGGAACAAAGATTTTAAGTTTAAATTAATATTTTAAAATGTGGGTGTTGATCAGCAAACACAGACAATGGATTAGACAGACCTGGTGCAGATTAGAATCCAAGCAAAAGTGTCAAGGTTTTGCAGGGTGAAAGTTCCAAGGCTGCCAGAGAGCATTAAAATAGTTGGATTAGAAACATAATACAGCAGATGCTGGAAATCTGAAAGAGAGAAAATTCTGGATAAACTCAGGTTTGGCAGCACCTGGGGAAAACAGTTAATGTTTCTAGTCCAATAGAACAAGAAATATTTGTTCTCTGTCTCTCCACAAATGTTGCCAAACCTGCTGAATTTCTCCAACAGTTTCTCTTTTTATTGGAGTGGTTGGGTATAGAGGTATTAAAAGTATGGACAACACTTTCAGGATCAGGGAAATTTAAGGAAGGGCAGAGAGAGGTAACAACAGAGGTGTAATTTGGTAGTCTCTGATGGCATAAGCAGACTTAACTTTTATATAATAGTCATTTCATCTAAAAATGAAAGATGAGAGGACTGTACACTAATTCTCAGCACAACTAAACTTATAATGTACAGGTGAGAGGCTGGAAAAGCACAGCAGGTCTGACAGCATCCAACGAGCTGGAAAGTCAACGTTTCAGGCCGAAACCGTCAGAATCTGTAACACGAGGTTTACGGGTCAAGCCTTACCTAATTATCACCGAGTCTTAAAAGTATTGAGTTCTGAAGAAGAGTCACAATGGAATCAAAACATTAACTGTTTCTCTACCCATCGAAGCCACGAGACCTGCTGAGTCTCTCCAGCATTCTTGATGTTTGTTTCAAACTTCCAGCATTCACAGTATTTTGCTTTTATTTAAATCCAGGTCCATTTCAATAAACTCAGAAGTACAAACAACTGGCAAAGCATAGACATGCAGCTCATAGCCTGCCTAAACAGCTCTTAATCCAAATCTGCTCCCACAACATTTTGTGGAACACACCCCAACTATATACAGCAAGCTAGAGTTCAAATTTCACAGTTCTTTGTCAAACAAAATGCATAACAGCTTGGAATGCATAATAGATTCCAGATCCGTGCCCATTCTTACCTCATTCTATCTTAAATGACTAACTTCAAACAAAACTAGCTGGCTTTACTTTGTAGGACAGCTCCCCCTAGAAATTCAGCCCCTTTAAAACAGTATTATAACTACATTCCAGACAGGACTAAGTTGAATTTTGATGCTGTTAAATATAAAGAAAGAATTTCTGCAAGCTTGTTACACATCTAAAGGTTTATGTAAATAAACAGGCCCTTTCAAGCACCTTGAGATATTTCATTATGTTAAAGCTGCTACATACACGCAGTTTGTCATTGCTGGGTAGATTTCTGATCGGACAAGTTTTATGAAAGAATTGGATTTGAAAAAAATAACTTGGTCTCTAGAAGGAGAATACCCCTTGGCATCTTAAGCCTTCTCCACCATTCAATAAGACAATGACCTTCCACCTCAAGCTGTTGGAGACAATCCCGAGGGACAGGATTTACAAGGACTGAATAGGCATAGTCCACATGGCTTTGTGCGTGGGAAATCATGTCTCACTAACTTGGTTGAGTGTTTTGAAGGAGTAACGAAGAAGATTGATGAGGGCAGAACAGTGGATGTGATCTATATGGACTTCAGTAAGGCGTTCGGCAAAGTTCCTCATGGTATACTGGTTAGCAAGGTTAGATCACATGGAATACAGGGAGAACTACCTACTTGGATACAGAACTGGCTCAAAGGTAGAAGTCAGAGGGTGGTGGTGGAAAGTTGATTTTCAGACTGGAGGCCCGTGACCAGCAGTGTGCCACAAGGATCGGTGCTGGGTCCACTGCTTTTTGTCATTTTATTTAAATGATTTCGATGTGAACATAGGAGGTATGGTTTGTAAGTTTGCAGATGGCACTAAAATTGGAGGCGCAGTGGACAGCAAAGGTGGTTACCTCAGAGTACAACAGAACCTTGGTCAGATGGGCCAATGGGCCTAGGAGCGGCAGATGGAGTTTAATTTAGATAAATGTGAGGTGCTGCATTTCAGAAAGGTAAATCAGGGCAGGACTATTACACTTAATGGTAAGGTCCTGGGGAGTGTTGCTGAACAAAGACCATGGAGTGCAGATTCATAGCTATTTGAAAGTGAAGTCACAGGTAGACAGGATAGTGAAGGCGGAGTTTGGTATGCTTGCCTTTATTGGTCAGTGCTTTGAGTATAGGAGTTGGGGGTCATGTTGCGGCTGTACAGGACATTGGTTAGACCAATTTTGGAGTATTGCATGCAGTTCTGGTCTCCCTGCTACAGGAAGGATGTTGTGAAACTAGTAAGGGCTCAAAAAAGATTTACGAGGATGTTGCTGGAGTTAGAAGGTTTGAGCTATAGGGAGAGGCTGAATAGACTGGGGCTATTTCCCCTGGAACATCAGAGGCTGAGAGGTAACCTTATAGAGGTTTATAAAATCATGAAGGGCATGGATAGGGTAAATAGGGAAGATCTTTTCCCTGGGGTGGGGGGAGTCCAAAAACTAGAGGGCACAGGTTTAAGGGAAGAGGGAAAAGATATACAAGGGACCTAAGGGGCAACTTTTCCATGCAGACAGTGGTGCGTGTATGGAATGAGCTGCCAGAAGAAGTGGCGGAAGCTGGCACAATTACAACATTTAAAAGGCATATGGATGGATATACGAACAGGAAGAGTTTAGAGGGATATGGACCAAATGCTGGCAAAAAGGACTAATTTATATAGGATATCTAGTTGGCATGGACAATTGGACCAAAGGGTCTGTTTCTGTGCTGTATATCTCTGATTCTACTGTAGCCCCTCCATGTCACTGTCCTTATCAAGAGGGAGACTTTCCCTTGCCAGTTTACCGTCAATGATCTTAGCACATCAAGTTGCTGGAAACAAGAAATGGAGATGGAGATGGAGGTGGAGGTGGAGGAGATGGAGATGGAGATGTCACTATGCATCTCCTTAGCAAATCAAACTACAGCATTGTGAAATATAGAGAGAATGGACTGAAAAGGAAGAGTAAATCAGAGTGGCGAATTCAATACACAATGTGCTGGAGAAACTAGAGGTCTGGCAGCATCTCTAAGAGAGAAACAGTTAATATTTCAAGTCCAGTGATCCTTAACAGCCTCTACATTGCAAAGGCTGAGTGCCAGCTCTCAGACACCTCTTCCTATCTTACCCGGACCATGACGCCACCATCGAACACCAGGCTATTCTGTCCACAACGGTCATTAAACTCATTTCATCGAGTGATTTCCCCCTGGCCACTGCCTCCAGGCTCATAATCACCACCCCCCTCCCCAGCCTCCTTCGCAACATCCACAAACAGGACTGCCCAGGTAGACCCACCGTTTCTGCCTGCTCCTGCCCTACAGATCTCATCCTTTCCTACCTCAACTCTTTTTTCTCCCCTTGCTCAGTCTCTATCCCCTTACATTTACAATTCTTCTAATGCTTTACATCAGTTTCGGAACTTCCACTTTGTGGGCTCCAGCTGCCTCCACTTTGCCATGGATGTGCAGTCCCTTTACATGTCCATCCCCCATCAGGATGGTCTCAGGGCTCTCCATGCTTCTTAGAAAAAAGGCCCAGAACTGTCCCTATTCAACACCACCATCTCCCACCTGGCCTAGCTCATCCTCACTTTGAACAACTTATCTTAACTCCTCCCACTTTCAGTCAAAGGGTGGCCTTGGGTATCCACATAGGCCTAGCTAAGCTTGGTCATTTTTCTCATTCATTGGAGATACACTCATTTCCAGCAGGGGTTTCTGGATAGTCCACAAATGGAGGCTAATGGTCTTTCTGGCTGCATTAGCTAAGAACACAGCCTTGGACCTGCTTGGTCTATATGGCTCAACACAACAAAATGCATTGAATAGGGGTTCAAGTACATAGTTCTTTGAAGTTTGCATCACATATAGACAGGCTGGTTAATATGGCATTTAGCATGCTTCCCTTCTTCGCTCAGACTTTTGAGTATAGGAGTTTGAATGCTATGTTGGGGTTGTAAAGGACGTTGACGAGACATCTTCTGGAGTACTGTGTCCAGTTCTGGCCTCCCTGCTATAGGATGGATACTAAGCTGGAGACTGTTCAGAAGAGATTTACCAAGATGTTGCCAGGAATGGAGGATGAGAATTGTAAGGAGAGGCTGGGACTTTTTTTTTTTAAAAATACACCGGCGCATAGAAGGTTGAGAGGTGACGTTATCGAGGTTTATAAAATAATGAGAAGTACAGATAAGACGAATAGCAGGTGTCTTTTCCCTAGGGAGGGAATTTCAAGACTGGGGCATATTTTTAAGGTGACAGGAGAAAGATTTTAAAAAAAAAAAAGACATCCGCAGCTTTTTTTTTTAAAGCAGAGTGGTTTGGTGTGTGGAATGAACTTCCAGAGGAAGTGGCAGGTGGAGGTACAATTACAACATTTAAAAGACATTTAGATAAGTACATGAACAAGAAATGTTCAGAGGGATATGGGCCAAGTGCAGGCAGGTGGGACTAGTTTAGTTTGGGATTATGGTCAGCATGGACCAATTGGACTGAAGGGTCTGTTTCTGTGCCATATGACTCCATGGCTATGATGCTATAAATGAGCTGGTGAATTAACTTTTCTGCTCCCAATAACATTTGTACAGTTTATATTGTCTATCACCAGCTCCCCACACCTTCCCCCTCCACCCCACACAATGGGTAACCCAAGGAGATGGTGTGAAGAAAAGCATTGGCATCCTAAAGATCTGCCCAAGTAACAGTATTCTAAATTCTAAAGGAGATTTTCAAAATAACATACTTTTCTGATATAAATAGTACCGAGGTGTGACTTAATATTTCTGCATAAGAAACTTACCTCTTCAACATCTTCATCAAGTTGCTCATTTGGATCAATTTCTCGCACCAGGTCCTGTAGTTTCTTCTTGCTTAAAACCTAAACAATACAGTTAAAGATGCAGAAATTTTGCAATGTGAAACTCATGGGTTTGGGGCTTTGGACAAAAATTGAAATTACAGATATTCCTTTAAAACAAATGAATGAATTTGAACAGTAAAGTAAAATTTGTTCTATGGTACAACTCATTTTAGCTTAACTCTTATTCAATTGCCTTTCTCTGCTTAATTCATTCTATTTGCTACCAAGTAATCATGAACATCATGGACATATTGACATAATGTATCTGTTAATGAATGGTTCAATCAAATTAAAGCCTGTGCCAAGAGTCAAATGCCATGTTTGATTTTTCACAAAATATCAATCCAAGTTCCAACACAATAGTGAAAATAAAACTCTTTGCCCAATTTGCTGTGTGTGAGGCGCATGTTAATTAAAAAAAACAAAAAAACAGATTCTGCATCCAAAAAGATGACTTTCCCATTTGTCATTCATGGGCACTAGGGTTTCTGGCAAGGTACACATTCCTTGCTCATCTTTAATTGTCCTCAAGGAGGTTGCATTGCATAGCCTTCTTGAACCACTGTAATCCATTTGGTGTTGCTGCGCTCAGCATTGCTCGAGAGGAAATTCCAGATTTTAACAATGAAGGAATTATTATTGTTCTGAATGAGGAAGGGAAAGTGTAAGTAGTGTCATTTCTACATTTGTCTCTGAGTGGTGGAGACTTTGAATTTGGAAAGCGATTTAGGAGGTGGTTGCCTGGTGAGCTGCAGAAGTACATTTTGTAAATGGTACATTCTGTTACGCAGTATGCCCGTGGTTGAGTAAATGAATACTTCAGGTGACTGTTGGAGCTGCACTCATCCAGGCAAGTGGGAAGTACCCCTCTTGACTTGTAACTTGGGACAGAGGTCAGGGTTTGGGCTGTTGGATATCGTTCAGATTTTGACATAAATGGACACAGACTGCTTCTGTATCTCAGGAGACATGACTGCTGCTTAACATTGTGCTGTGTTGATCTCAACATCTGACCTTATGATGGAGCTAAGTTAATTGATGAAGCAGCTGAAGATGTTTGGGTCTGGTAAACTGCTCTAAGGAACTCCTACAGCAATGTCCTAGCATTAAGACTGATCGGCAACTACCACACCATCTGCTTTTGCGTTTGCTATGACTCCAACTAGCTGATTCTTATCAAATTTTAAGAGATTATTTAATGCCTCTCTGTCAAATGCTGCCTTCATAGCAATGGCAGTCATTCTCACCTGATCTCTAGAATTCAGCTCTGTCCACATTCGCACCAAGTCGATAATGATGGCTGGTGCCAAGTAGCCCAGGTAGAAAGTTATTTCAGTCATTCATGTGTATCTACAGCTCAGAAGTGCCACTTCTAACACTTCTGATGATAATATCATCACTTTTTCTGAAACAGCACGGATGCGATGGTAACTGGTTGGATGGAATTTGTCCTGGTTTTCACATTGCTGGGTGAATTTTTTCTGTATTCATTGGATGAGGGCGTGGATGGCTAGGCCAACATTTATTGCCCACCCCTAGCAGCCCAGAGGACATTGCTGTGGGTCTGGAGTCATTTGCAGGCCAGACCAGGTAAGGATAGCTGATTTCCTTCTCTAAAAGACATTAGTGAACTACATGTAACAAGGTGTAGAGCTGGATGAACACAGCAGGCCAAGCAGCATCAGAGGAGCAGGAAAGGTGACGTTTCTTCAGAAGGGTCTAGGCCCGAAACTTCAGCCTTCCTGCTCCTCTGACACTGCTTGGCCTGCTGTGTT